CAATAATTGATAATAAGATATGTCAAATTACGAATAAAAATTATATTAAATAACTTTAATCAATATTCAATTTATTTTTGATTATGAAAAATTTTTACAATCATTGAAATTTTTCACTTAATATTAACATTTGTCTAAATGTCATTATTGTATTACATAAAGTAAATGCTAAAATTATCCAATATATTATTTTATCTCGCCAACCGCATTTCAGAAATACAGGAACATTATCTTCACACTAAATAAATGAAAAATAATTTAAATTATATAAACGCGACTATTTATTTTTCATATATTTCACATTATTTCGTATTAAAATTATTTGACCTGCATTTTTGCTTGTTTTAATTTCAAATTTCTTAACGTTTTGTCTTCAATTAAATATGGACGTCCCAAACAAATTGATCGATTTAATAAGATAATATTCTTATGGAAAAATTTTAATCGAGTAATCTAAATATAAATATAATTTTATGTAAAAAATTATAATATAAAAAATGATTATATAGATACTTATTGAAATGAATTCATAATATATTTATACAATGTAATAAGAAAAAAAATTAATTTTTATTATAAATAAAACAAATATTTGTAAAAATATGTACTTACACAAAACATTTTACGATATTTCCAAAACTATATTAATTTGTATCACTTTATTTAATATCTTATATCATTTCAATTGATGTTCAACTCTAAAAATTCATACAAACAAAAAAAAATGAATGTTGTTAAAATATAATTACTTATTTAAATTCGCGCCGATACAAAAATGCAACTTTCTTTTATTATCGCACAGTTGGCGAACCTGAAATGTAGTTCATAAATGGTAGGAGAGGAACGCATGCGTACTCGTTTCGCGACGCAACAGTCGTAAACAACATTTTTTCCATAGAGATTTTTAACGAATTTACACACGATAATTAGAGCGTCCAGAGGGACGCATCACGATTTTTCCGCGTTTTCATACGATTTCGCGGAAAAAATGGGGTCAAGCTTACACGTTCAGTGTACGTGATAAACTTATGGGTTTCTGGCATGCGGTGACGTCATCCGGATCGTTCTGGAAGAACCCTGCAGGACAATAATGGCGGGTATGTATTTACATCGATAAAGGGAATACCGATTGCCACTCGACAAATTATAATTAGAGGTAAAATGTATTACGAATCGTCGATTTCAGATTTGTATGCTAAATACAACTGCACCTATTGTCAAGAGGACATCTCGGGTTTACGTGTAAGATGTGTAGAATGCCCAGATTTCGACCTCTGTTTGCAGGTGAGACGAGCGAATGCTTGTTCTTGATCACGTGTTCACGTCTCCTTTTCCCCCTCTGCCCTCCCTTACTGATCTCTGTCACATCTTCGTCTATCCTTCTAACTTTACTGGATTTTGCGTGTTGAGATTCCTTTTTTAGTCCCCACCCTTTTTTTGTCGACAAGTTGTTCTGAAATTATTATATTATACTACTACTCGACTGAATGAAACTTCTAATCACGTGGTGACACATGTGTACGTATATCACTTCTATTTGATGCAAAAATGTCAAAATTTTAAAACAAATAAAATGAAAAAAAAAATATATCATTTTAAAAATATTATGATTCTTTATAATATAAATGAAATACTATTTTAAAATAAATTATTTATAAATATATAAAGATATTTTATTAGAAAAAATTATTCATAAATATCTTTTATTAAAAAAAGAATAATATTTTTTAAATTTAACAGTGTTTTTCCGCTGGAGCTGAAATTGGACCACATAAAAATGACCACTCTTATCAGTTTATGGTATATATTATGTTTTTAAATATAAAAAAGTTATTCTTTTGATTAAAAAATTAATGAATTTTTATATTTTATAGGATTCTGGTACCATTAGCATATTTAATGGTAGAGGAAACTGGACTGCTAGAGAACAACTTAGACTTTTGGATGCCATTGAACAATTTGGTTTTGGAAATTGGGAAGATATTAGTAAACATATTGAAACACGTACGCCAGAAGGTACGCCATTTGTTATATTGTAACTTCTTGCATTAAATAATATTATATAATTTTAACAAAAAGAAATATAATTTTACAAAACTATGATTATTTAATAAATAAATTTAAAAAAAATTAATATATGAAAAATTATTTTCTATATATACATAATTTATTTTTATCTACAGAAGCAAAAGAAGAATATATTGCTAGGTATCTTGATGGAAATATTGGAAAACATACATGGCCTCCTACAGAAAGCTACAAACCAAATATTACAGATCAAACTAAGTCAGATCATGGACCTCTATCACCTGATCTCACATCTCGATTACCACCTTTGGATATTACTCCAGAAGAAGCTGCACAATTGGGATACATGCCACAACGAGATGATTTTGAAAGGGTATATTTTAAATTAAAAATATTTGTTTCACAACAAATATATAACAACACATTATTGTTATACTATTGAAATCTTCTCTACAGGATTACAATCATGAAGCAGAATCACTTGTTTCTTCTTTATTTTTAAATCCAGCAGAAGATGATGATTTGGATATAGCACTTAAACTTGCACAAGTTGACATGTATACTAATAATTTAAGAGAGAGAGCGCGACGAAAAAGAGTTGTACGCGATTATCAGCTTGTTTCTGCATTTTTTGCTTCATCTAGGAAAGATAAAACAATAAAGAAAAAACAATCAAAAGAGGAAAAGTATGTTTAATATTGAATAAAAATAATATTTTGTTTTGTACAATGTTTTGATAATAAATTTGTTAAATATATTATAGGGAATTTAGAGATAGAACAAGAGTATTTGCACAGTTTTACACGGCACAGGAATATGAACAATTTTTAACAAATCTTGAAAGGGAAAGAGAATTACGGTTACGTCTTTCAGAATTATTTCGTTATCGAGAACATGGTATTACAAGACATGAAGAATGCGCTCATTTCGAACAAGTGATGGCACAAACTCAGGGACAAAATGATACTGTAGATCATTGGAATGAAAAAAAATCTGTAAGTATTGGTATTCATATATTTGTTAACTTTTTCCACATTGCAATGGCAATTGAATTTTTTTTTCTTTTCTTTTTTTTTCTTTTCTTTTTTTTTTCTTTTTTTTTTTTTTTTTTTTTTTTTTTTGTTTT